AGGACCTATCCACGTCATCATTTACCCAGAATGCTTTGTGTGTAAATAAAATGGCTCCGTCTGTGTTAAAATTTGTTTTTAAAATTTACAAAATAAAAAGCCTACAGTATTTTTACAGTCTTTATTTTACAGTTAAAATGTGTTTATTAAATAAAGTCTAATGTTACAACTAATTGTGGATCCCTTTAACAGGAGGTTCTACATCCTGTGGTACTGACCCGGGCCAGAGTGAGCTCGCTCTCGATGGCGTTGTGCAGCCGAACGATTCCGACGTATTCTTTACCTGCAGGAGGAGAACCGTCAGTCTGCTTTAAAACAGAATCACACACACACACACACACACACACACCGGCGCTCTGCTGGGACTTGACCAATCGCGTGGCTCGATCGATGCAGACGATCAGGCAGCCCGTCACCTTTGGGTCCAGCGTCCCGCTGTGACCCGTCTTCTCCACCCGCAGGATCCTGCGGATCCACGCCACCACCTCGTGAGACGACGGGTTGGCCGGTTTGTCCAGGTTGATGAAGCCCGACCTGACGAGAGAGAGAGAGAGCGACGCCGTCAGAGCTCGGCACCACCACAGAACCCGGACAGAACCTGCGCTCAGAACGTACTTGACATAATCTGTGATGTTCCTCTTCAGCGGGTTGCTGCCGTTGGCCACCGGCGTGTAGTGAGCCGTCCGGATGTTCAGCTTGTGGAAGTTCTAAAACCAGAGAAGCTTTTTAAAAAAGAAAACAGTGGAAGTTCTGAAGCTGCGACACAAACTTTAAACCTGATCAGAACAAAATATCGTCTTGACCGCGGTCCGGTCCGGTCCTCCTCCACGACGCTCCTGGGTCTAATCGGGCAGAACGCCAGACGAGCCCAGCAGCACCGTGGAGACGCCTCGCTCCAGAACGCAGCAGAAGCAGGGACCGAAGCCGGACCACGGCACTCAGAGAATGGATAAACCGGTTCATCACTTCAGAGGTTCATGGGTCAACGTTTGGTTAGGACYCTACAGAGGAACGGACCTTCAACAGGAGGGGCCACTGAGACGTGTCCAACGACGCCGCTTTGGCTTCTGGACGGATGACGAAGTCTCCAGTCTGCTGGATCTCCTGTTAAATAATAAAAACTTTATAAACTTCAGAAAAACTACGATTCAAATCTTTAACTAGGCCCGTCACAATAAACAAATCAATTAATTGGATCATTAATTAAATTAAAGATAAATTAAAGTGAAGACAATTTTCATTTTCATGCCTTTCTTCTTGTTTCTGTTACTTCTGAGCGCAGAGAGAAATAAGTCAGGTGTTTGTCAGGCAGGTGTCTAACCTCTGCAGCCTGTGAACGTTTATGGTGCGTTCACACCGAACGCGATTTCAGCTTCAAAATCGCAGCCAACGCTGAAGTTTGAAGCTTGTGCACTTTGAGGTCAGACGCAGGACAGCTGCGCTGCCCCTCCCTCCTCTGTGGGGCTCTGTTTAATGTCGGACGAGGAAGTGGCTTTGCTTTATTTACAGAGAGCCAGAACG